CTATCCGAATGATGCGACCACTCCACCACGGTGCCTGGATTGGATTGCACCAGTGCATCGAGATACTGTGGTAGTTCGGCAAAATTCGCTTCCCAAGATCCAAACACAAGCTCAATTGCTTTACGTCTCGCGTACCAGGCTTTTTTGTAAGACACATCAACCTTCAAGTTTTCTTTAACGGAACTTAGTATGTTCTTGACCTTTAATCCAGGGTCATCTTCAATGCTACGGAGGATGTACCTTGAAATAACGGAAGCCGTCAGGCTTGTATTGTTATTTCTAATCATGTCGCCCAAGCAGTTATGGTCATTCACCCACTTTGTAATTTGCCACATTCCATGAGTCTTTTTCTTTACGGCTCTAACACACCATTCGCATGGTGGATACGATGGCGCGGTTGAAGTGGAAGGATGTCGATCAATTGATGACTTGCACTTAGCAAACCACGTGTTACTCTTACTCTCAATAACTCTGAACTCCCTATTGTGATTGATGGACCACATCCTAACTGCTCGGCTGAGCTGCTGCTTACTCTCAAATCTCATATGAAGACGTATATTATTATTCTCCTCACTGAATGTTACAATACGCTCCAATCCATCCTCCTCTTCCATATCATCATGATCTATGTTCCCAAGATCGGAGAAAAATGTCATTCCTCTTGGCACATATGCAGAGCTGCCAGCTGTGCTATTGCGTCTGTCCAAGTGGTCCATATCGAGGTTTACTCTTAAACCCCCACCTTCATGCTCATCATCCGAATCACTACCAGACACATCTTGCGACTCCGACTCTTCAACCTCTTCCGCATCAACTTCCGGGTCATCTTCCGGGTCATCTTCTTCCACATCATCTTCAAGAGAGCCAAGGAGCCCATCGTGTATACTAGCATATACATCATTTTCAGCTGAACTGCGACAACCTTGCCCAGGGTTAGACTCGATCCCAATTGGAGAAATATGGCATGATGGACCTGGATCTCCAAAACTTGGAATCGAATCCAGGCCATGAAAATATTCCTGGGCACCCATGGACCCTGATGTGAGCCTTGGTTCTAATGAATCCATAGATCGATCACCATGCATATAATGACATGCTGATGAAGTCTCTGGAACGACTACACTAGAACCGAAGTGCAACTTTGTTGGATCCATGAATGCATGAACCAGCGACATCATTGGACCAACATACCTATTGCTCCAGTGAATACGCTATTAACTACAGGCATTTGGACGATTTCTTCCTTCTCGATATAAATCTCCGCCATGTATGAAACTCTTTCGATCCAAAGATCGTACATTACATCAAGAGTTTCATCATCCACCACTGCGGAAACAGTATATTTGGAACTCTCCAACGGTTGACGAAGAAACAATTTCAGCTTGAACATCCCTTTATCGGCCCAATATAGTGGTAAATCCTGTCAACCAACTCCCCGTATCCAATTCTATGCCTCAAAGTTAATGTCCGGTTGGAAGTACGAGGCATATAACAAACAAAGTCACCTTCGTAATGTATTTGTCCTCCCCAGTATAGGTTTACCCGCAGAGGTCTTTCTACAGACATGTTTGTAAAATGAATCCCTATTTTGGGGACAATATATTAGAATTAGAAGTCCAAGCGTCCAAACAAATGAAAGAGAGGATGGACTATAGGTCGAAATTGGAACTATTATATAGACTAATTTCGATCCATATGTTTATGAAAAAATTTAAAACAGGTATGAAATATGCTATAAATAACGATAGCAATAGCCTAAAACTCCGAACGCAATCTTTAGAAAATTTGGACAGAGTCTCCCTAAAATTTACACTAAAACTCTCCCTGCTGCCAACCAATCCGAAAGGGAACCCGATTGTTAAGTAATAATCACATTTGCCACACTACATATTGTCAAGAGACCCTATAATTTTCAAAGTACAGGCGTAAGAAATGTATTTAGAAGTTATATATATTTGGGCTCCACATTCACACCTCATAAAAAGATCCACATTCACAATGATGTGATATTCTAGCTATGAATCTTACAAAATTAATGTTATTTTTCCAAATAACCTAATAGTGAGTTACCCTCACAAAGAAAGATCTACAAAAATTTCGACATAATCTCCCTTATAAATAGCCTCAAACTCCCTGTCAAACAATCCAAATATCCATGAAATTCAAGAGCTCCAATCTATAAACTACATAATGTCAATAAAGTCTCAAAGCTCCAATTGCAAAACATACAATATCCAATGTACATAGTGTTTCGACCAAAAGTAATAGGGTCGACAAATAGATTTTAAAAAAAAATTCTGATGATAAATTCAAAAAAATTCTACAAATGGGGCATTTTGAGCATGGGATTACATCCAAAGGGTCTTCGCCTTCAGCAAATGCGAACTCACGGAGCTCGAATTTTCGCACGATGAAATCCACAAAAAATTTTAACAAAAAATAAAACAATAGCTCGCATTTATTATTATGAAATGGACGGATCCGAGCTCGGATAATTTATTGAAGCCCTCGGATCCAACAGGGTTCGGATCCTTCTTAACGGATGATCAGACGAGACCTCGGATCTGAGTAAACAACTATAAATCCGACCTCGGATCATAAGGATCCGAGGTCGGATCTTTCTGCCTTTAGTCGTATCCGAGCTCGGATCTTGCTTTTCTGCACTAATTGCAGAAATCTGCAAATAAACTGCAACTAATTGGAAATGGAAAAATTGCCAGTCATCGAAAAAGATAACGTATTTCCTCAAATCCACCACAAAAAATGCAAAAATAAGCACAACCCACATCACATTTACACCCAAATTTCACAACAAATCTGAACCTGCCCTTGGATGATAGTATTCAACTATTAATTAAACTTAAAAAGCTATACGTGAGGCATTGCAAGTGCAAAAGCCTAACCTTTATGCTGTTTGACAGTTGCAATGGGACGGCAATGCGGTCAAATTTTGGAAGCGGCAAACGCGAAACCAGTCTTTCGATGCTCCGGTTTGCTCCGGTCGTTTCTGCTTCGATGTGCAGAAACCAGGTCTGTTTTCTTTGTTTTGCTAATCAAAAAATCCGAATTCTTTGTTTTGCTGTTCCACAGCTATTCAACCAGCTATTCTTTGTTTTGTCTTTTTTTTTTCGAAATGGGGTCTTGGCGGTTGCTAGGGGAGCTGGGTGAGAATGCGAGGTCACAGAGCTCGCATTCTCAGAATGCGAGGTCACAGAGCTCGCATTCTCAGAATGCGAGCTCGAATCGACCTCGCATTCGCAAAATGCGAGCTCGATGAGCTCGCATTCTGAGAATGCGAAGACCCCCCTTTGTAGAAACAAATCCAAAAACCGCCTCGTTGTAGAAATCTTTTTTTTTTTTCATCACAAAATAAGAATTCACCCTTTGACTATGAGGGGGAACGGGTAGTGCTACAAGGAAACAGCCGAGATGATGCAGTCACTTTGAGTAGGGGAGATTCCGGACCTGTCGAGAATAGGAACAGAAAGAGGAGGATGCTTAAACAATTCGACAGGATCAGCTCCTCCACTCAGGGAACTACATTACAAACTTCTATTGACCAACTACTTGTTGACTATAGTTGATGTATTTGGAAATCCTAAACAGTTGCCTCCTTCTAGAGATATGTTCACCAAATACCCCTTAAACCTGATGCCAAGCCTTTTTAAAATACCACCCTACAAATACCCTCACGCACAGAAAACTGAAATAGAGAGACAAGTGAAAGACATGCTCCACAGTGGAATCATTAAACCAAGTCACAGCCCTTTCGCCTCACCCGTTCTACTGGTCAAGAAAAAAGATGGGACTTGGAGGTTTTGCATTGATTACAGACAGTTAAATAGCCTTACCATCAAAGATAAGTTCCCAATTCCTATTATAGACGATCTGTTGGATGAACTTTACGGAGCCATATATTTCTCCAAAATTGACCTCCGATCTGGTTACCACCAGATCAGGATGTGTATAGAAGACATACCTAAAACTGCTTTTAGGAAACATCAAGGCCTTTACGAATTTGTTGTAATGCCCTTTGGGCTTACTAATGCACCAGCCACCTTCCAAGCACTCATGAACTCCATATTTGAACCATACATCAGGAAATTTGTCCTTGTTTTCTTTGATGACATATTGATTTACAGCCCTGACCCTGAAGCTCACCTCACACACTTGAAAATAGTAGTTGACACACTTAGACACCACTCTCTCCTAGCCAAAACTCTCCAAATGTTCTTTTGGTCAGCCGCAAGTAGAATATCTTGGTCATGTGGTTACCCGAGAAGGGTGATTGCTGATCCTGCCAAAATTGACAGCATGCTTTCCTGGCATGTCCCTACTTCGGTTAAGGCTCTTCGAGGCTTCCTGGGGTTAACGGGCTATTACAGGAGGTTTGTGAGGAATTATGGTTTGATCACTAAACCTTTGACTGACCTTTTGAAGAAGAACAGCTTTAACTGGACACCAGAGACTATGTTGGCCTTCAATGAGCTCAAAAAGGCCATGAGCTCTACACCTATGTTGGCATTGCCAGATTTCAGCAAGTCATTTGTGTTGGAGACAGACGCTAGCAGTAAGGCTATTGGAGCTGTGCTCATGCAGCAGGGACATCCCATTGCCTTCATGAGCCAGGCGTTGGGACCCCAGAACCAATCCTTATCTATTTATGAGAGAAGGAGCTACTTTCACTCATTTCTGCCATGACCAAATGGAGACATTATCTCCTTGGGAACCATTTCATCATAAAAACTGATCATTACAGTTTGAGGTTCTTATTGGAGCAAAGGATCACCACCCCACTCCAACAAAAGTGGCTCACCAAACTGATGGGGATGGACTATGAAATTCACTATAAAAGGGAAAAGAGAACTTGGTGGCTGATGCCTTGTCCAGAAAGGGATTGGAGGATGGAGGGGAGGAGAGACGAGTGGAGAGTAAAAAGGGAGTGCATGCTATGTCTATAGTCAGACTAATGTGGCTCACGAAGGTGATTGAGAGCTATAATGGTGATCCCAAGGTTAAGGATCTATCTCCAGGCTCTGGCAATAGATGACCAAGCCATACCTGATCACACTTATCAGCAGGGAATCATCAAGTACAAAGGAAGGATACTAATTGGAGCTACAGGAACTTTGAGACAGCAGCTTATCTCATGTATGCATGAATCATGGATTGGGGGTCATTCGGGAAACTTAGGCACTTACCAGAGGCTGAAGGGGTACTTCATCTGGCCAGGAATGAAAAGAGAGGTGGAGGACTTTGTCCAACAATGTCAAACTTGTAAGATCAGTAAAGGGGAGCATTGCAAGTACCCCGGACTGTTACAACCATTGGACATTCCGGAACAAGCGTGGCAAACACATAGCAATGGATTTTATTGAGGGCTGCCCAAATCAGAAGGGAGTAATGTGATTCTGGTGATAGTGGACAGGTTCACTAAGGTGGCACATTTCTTCGCTGTCAGCAACCATTACACTGCCAAAGGAGTGGCCCAGGTGTTCTTTGATAACATATACAAGCTCCATGGGTTACCGTCAAGCATTGTATCTGATAGGGGCAAGGTGTTTACAAACGTATTTTGGCAAGGACTATTCAACAGAGTAGGCACCCAGCTACATTTATCGACCAGTTACCATCCTCAGACTGATGGACAAACCGAAAGAGTGAACAGGTGTTTGGAGACGTATCTACGGTGCTTGTGCTTCCAACAACCCAAGAAATGGAAGAGGTGCCTTACTGCTACAGAAATAATACTAATCATCATACAGCTCTGCGAATGTCACCCTTCCAGGCCTTGTACGGGTATGCCCCACCCCAGTTGAGCCAGAGACAGGTCCTCTAGAGTAGCTGAGGTAGAGGACTGGTGGGCAGAAAGAGTTAATTGGAACCAACTGCTGAAGGAAAACTTACTCAGAGCCCAAAACTTGATAAAGCAGTATGCTGACAGAAACAGGAGTGAGAGATCATTTGAAGTAGGTGATCTAGTGTATCTCAAATTGCAACCATACAAACAGACGTCCATTGCCTTAAGGAGGAATTTGAAGCTCTCTTCCAAATACGACGGGCCTTATAGGGTGCTGGAAAAGATTGGACCAGTGGCTTATAGGTTGGAGCTACCTCAGGGATCAACTGTGCATCCTGTATTCCATATTTCCCTACTGAAGCCATCTGCAAAAGGAGCTGTTGTGCACTCGCAACCACCCACGCTCACTGAGGAGAGTGAGGTCAAAATAACTCCTGCAGTTGTCCTTGCTAGAAGGACTCTGCAACGAAATGGGAGAGACGTGGAGCAAGCATTAATCCAGTGGTAAAATCTTGATGCAGCTGAAGCAACTTGGGAGGATATCACAGTGATGCAGGCTCAGTTTCCTGAGTTTGGAATCCAATCCTAGAGTCTACACAACTTGGGCTTAGTTTTCTAAGTTTGGAGTCCAATCCTAGAGTCTAGGATTGTGTAAAAGGGGAAGTATTGTTATGGATCACAGGGACTAAAATGTAAACAGTCAAGAGCTTGAGGGATAATATTGTAATTCATTACGTTAGTTAGAATAAGGGCAGGTAAAGTAGTAAAAGGGTGTAACTACCCATGCATGCAGACGGCGGGGAAAGTTGTTAAAAGGGTGTAACTACCCATGCATGCAGACAAAAGCAATTTGTTAGCAGGAAAGCACCGCCTATATATGATGGGATGGGTAGCAATAGTAGGCACGGATTTTGTATGACTCATTTTCTCAAATCTGAATAATATTCTCTCTTCCAAATTCTCCCTCAGTCCCCAACTTCTTCTTCTTATCTTCCTTCTAGCTCTAGTCATAACAGGATCTTTATGATAGAATAGTAAACAATTACTGTTGCCTATGTGTGTAAATAAACTAATTAAATTTAAAAAAAATTTGCCTATGTGTGGAATTATGAGATAGGTTAATTGCAAATTGATTTATGTTGCACCACAACACTACAAGGAGTAGATTCACAAGAATCTGGACTGGAGTGAATTTCAATTGCTGATCAAAATATATGTTATAGTACACTTAATTTTTCTTAGAAATTTATCATAATCTAAAAAATGCCATTCTGATTAAGTCTACTAGGCATATGTATATGTGCATGACTTGGAACTACTCTATTCATGGCTACAAACACAAGTATTCCAAACATCAACCATTCTAAAGAAGTCCATTGGTAGGTAGTTTTGATAAAATATTGGCTTGGGATATTTGTGTAGGAGTTGGATTCCTGATATTTTTGTACTAGTTGGTATGAGATTTCCTATTATCAGGTTTTTTAATAAAAAAATTTTTACCCTTCTTTCCCTCCTCACACCCATAATCAACCTCAATAATAGTATTTGTTGGGGTAAAAGTGTAAATGTTTGTATTTTATGACAAGCATATTGAAATCGATCACCACTTTATCAAACATTTGAAAATAAGATGATAAGATGTCCCATTCATGAACTGCAAAGATGAGTTGGTCAATATACTTACAATGGCTATCCCAAGAGCAAACTTCCATAAGTCACTTGGGAAGTTGGGCATGTGCAATTTTTATGCGCCAACACTTAAGGGGAGTGTTGAAATGATTTTTATGTAGATATTATTTGCTTTGTGTTTGAATTTTCAAATTAGAGATCAATTAGAGTTGATTAGATTTGAAGAAAAAGAAGGGCTCCTGCCATAATAGTTAAGCAAAGAAGAACTTGAAAGGATAAAAACAGGAACGTTAAATTAGAAGATGAAAGAGAGGCACGGTAAAAGAAAGGTAGGAGTAGTAAAAAGAAAGGGAAGAAATGAAGGAACGTATTATTTTAGAAGATGAAGGGGAGAAATCGGATAAAAGATTCTTCTTCTGATTATTAATCTTCAAGTGATCCTGGCAGTGAAGAATTTGGATAAAGAAAGATGTTGGAAGAAGGATAACAGGGGAGTGCTTGAGGATGATGCATTGCATGGTGTGCTTGCTTAGATGTTCCTTTTCGATTCAAAAATTTAATGGCATGTTGGAGTGAGGAACACCTACTGTATCAAAGAACTAAGCGGGAATGAATTGGTCCGTTTGATTAGCATGTGGAACTGGTTTGGATTGCTATTTTTCGGAGTTTTTGTAGAAAAATATATTGTAATGATTTGATATATGCAAGAAAAAAATAGATGATTGGAAAAATGTTTGTGGAAAATGTAAAAAAAATTTAAAGAAAAATTTTCAAATATTATTTACTAACTTGCATTATAAATATAATTTTTAATCATTTTTTTATCGCACGTACATTAAATCACAAAAAGTGCTTCAATTTTGACTTAATTTCTATCTTTGTTTTTATAGCCTATGTTGTGAACGTCAGTTGAACTTGTCATTTCATTCTATCTCTCAAATCTGTTAATATGACAGGGTTGTATTTTTCAGATTTAAGCGTATCTATTAGTTCTATTACCATATACTTTGAGGGGTTCTAGATATTATTAAGCCATAAATTGATGACATTATTTGACTCCTCTTCTGTCTTTTTTTTCTTTTTTTCTTTTTGACAATGTGGTCAGATGGTGGAGGATCTAAATCCTGGGATTGAATGATTCTTTAAGAAAAGAAATGGGTTTGGACTGGATGCTGCAACCTAACAATACCACCGAAAAGACTCCAGCAACAGCTTTGGACAATCAATAGGAGGTTCAAGTCAAAGCTTAAAAGGTAAGCTTTAAACTTGTTTAACATTTTTTTTTTTGCGTGAAAGCCTGCAAACAGATATATCTAATGTTTGTTCTCGGCCATTGAATGCACTTTAGCAGCAATTTTTTAGTGTAAGTAGGTAAGAGTTTTGGTGCTGGAGAAAACTCCGGAACAACGGTTGTGAGATGAAATTTCATGTTCTTAGTAGCCAAAAAAGTGGCTGCCATAGACTTTTCGGCTTTAATTGTTCTTCCTGCATTTTTGTTCTGATTGCCAAGAACGGAGGAAAATTGATAAGGGACTGCTTTTTGGTAATTGGAGTCTTAGGAACTTTTGGGCTAATGGAGAATAGAAACAATTCGCATTTTAAGAGCTATAAAACATGAGGGAGACAGAGTGGAGGCTGGAGAAACTCGAGAAGTAGAGGCATTAATGGCTTTCTCAGAGTAATTAGATTAAGGAGTCGGGTCTTTTGTAGTACGTTCTCCATACTAAGAGAAAATATAACAATCTAATCCTGGTATAGAATCTCAATTCAAAATGAAAATCTACATCCACTTCCCGATTTTTCCCATTTTTATTTAGTTCTTGAATCTTGTCCTTCATTGGTCTGAGATCAGCCTGTCTATCGCAAAACTGCATATTGTTGTAGGAAGCATTGTCATTCAGCTGACTTGTGTCTTTAATTTATTTTCATGATATGTTTGACGTTCGCTGCTATGTGAGTCGTTTTTATTAACATTGTCCTTTGAGATTGTTTATCTTTGCTGTTGTCGAGTGTACTTTTTTTATCTGAAGTTGCACATATCAAATTGGCCTCATCATGCATTTTCGGATACAGTTCGGTTATTCTATATCCCGTAGTATATTTTGCGGTTCAGGTAGTTTTTAGGGAGTTGAATCCATACTCGAAGAACAATGGAGTGGGTATCCAGAAGATTCAGATGCTAATGCTGGTCAGAATCAGCTTCTTTCCTCTACACTTGTGGATGATGAAGGTGCAACAAGCTGAGGCTGAAGCATTGGAATGAGCTCATGAGCAAGCAGCCTGTGGGGAGGGAGGCTTGAGGAGGTCTGTTGCCGCACTGTCTCAGGTTTCTTATTCGAAGATTTTTCCTTCAAGTTAGTAGTATATAATGAATTAACTTTGAACGGGTGGTAGAATATGGGCGTGTTTCTCTTGCAGAGCTGGTAGTTTTCTGTGGCATATCATAGAGTAGCACCAACTCATGCTCATTTTCATGCAATAAAAACTGGAAGGAGAGGGCTAAGAGGGGGAGGAACAAACAGGCACGGATAGAGACAAAGGAATGTCTCCCAGGAAGGTCTGCAGTCTGAGGATAGCAATTTTCCTGAAAGATGTTGGCTTAATTTTGATACGAAATTCTCGAATATTAAAAGAAACAGGTTGATCAGTTTGATAATGTTCCAACATTTTTCCTGTCAATTTTGGTAGTTTTTCAAGTTGAGCTAAGGTCAAAAACCCAATGGATTGTTTTCCTGTCTTATATATACACTTAGATACGGTCCATTTATCTGTGTATGTGCACGAATACAATACTGAGGAGTTGGAATTGGAAAATGGTGAAACTGGCAACAACCTTCTCGAGAAATTACTGCTGAGCACTCAACTTGTTCTGGAATTGCTTGTACAGCTGATGGGGATCGCTGCATTGTTTTTCACTCAGGCATGTGACAAAATGACGATTTTTGGCAATTGTGCTTTATATGGCAATATCTACCACACTTGCAAGGAGTGATGGTTAGCAAGCATGCAGCATTAAATTAGTCAAATATTTGGTCTAGTAGCTTCTTAATTTGTTTGTTAAATAATGACGATTTAGAACGAGATTGTTTGTGCATTTAGTTATTCATATTCAATATTGGGATTTCAATATAAAAAAGGACAAATTACACTTTACCCTCTTATGGTTAGTGTTTTTCTACATAACTCCCCTATAGTTTCAAAAACTATACATAACTCCCTCATGGTTTAGATTAAAGTGTCAAAGTGACTGAAATAGTCATTCGCAATGGAACTTTTAAAAATATCGAAATCATCCTTATAAATACATGACACACTAACCCCGTATGATTTCATGTTTTGCTATATAATCCTCTTATGGTTTAATACTTTACCATATAACCCCTTATAGTTTTCAAAATATACACATAACCCCCCTCCCTGAGATTAATAAATAATTTTGAACTTTATATAAGGGTATTTTTGACATTTTAGGTGATTCTGTTACAAATGATCATTTCCGTTACTTTGACGCTTTAGTCCAAACCACGAGGGAGTTATGTATAATTTTTGAAATCATAGGAGGGTTATGTAAAAAACACTAAACCATAAGGGGTATAGTGTAATTTGCCCTATAAACAAAGGTGATCATCTGAAATAATTAGTGATTTAGATAGAATAACCATATGCTCTTTCTGTATTGAGCAACTATAGATCAAATCTGGTGCTTCTTATATTCTGAAGTTCAATAAAAATGCTTTATTAAGATCAAAGTCCTAATTTGTTCAGAACTAATTCTGCTGTGTTATTGTCCTCCCTTTGTATAAACTAGCAAGCAACTTGATGGTCACAAAAGCTTGATCATAGTGTTCCAGAAGTGACAGTGCATCAGAATGGGGGTACAAGGATTAACCCCTGGCCAAGCAATGCTTTTTCATCTTTTTTCTATTGAAAGAATGGAATCTCTGCTGGCTAGAAAACTTTTTGTTTGCAGTTGCCAGTGAAGGAAGGAAAGCACCCTCAACTCGTCACCTTTAGTAAAATTCCATGGAACAGTACCTTTTCCCCATCCTTGCTATATATTGTATCCAGATCAGATCAACTACTACTATCCTCAGTTCATCTCAAACATTGATGCCAACAGCCAATGTTGGCTGAGTTCATTAGTGTCACCAATCTTTATCTTTTAGTCAGTCTCTGACAAAACAAGCAACAATGCCTTCTGAAACAACACACACCAGTAGCAAGTCTCATCCAAATTTGGATGGTGCCCCCCCAGTTGAGATGACGCATAAACGTATTGATGAAGAGATTGGGGAGATGGTCTCTGCTTTGACGAATCGCCTTAACAGCATCCTACACGCTCAGAAAGTTGAAGGGGGTAGTTCAAGCAGTCATCATCACCGCATCATCAGGAAGAGGATCAAGAGCATGGAAGGTGCAAGAATCATTACACTGGCTGGAAACAATGTAGGTGCCACCATGCGCAGGGAAATGGATGAGAAAACTGCTGATCTGCCGGAGAATTGCCAATGGGAGAGCAGGAAGCATTGAGTACCTATGTGAACAGCAACTTCCAGGCCGTCAACAACTCCATCATGATGGGCGGTAGCTATTCAACTAACGATCCAGGTGTTCACTTGACCATTTCAGATTACATGGAAGACTGGACTCCTTCCGAGTCCAAACACAAGGCAGGTTCCAAGCATGATGGAAAGAAGGAAAAGAAGAAACAAAAGGCAAGCCAAAGTGACCAACAAACGAGAAATCTGAATAAATCGTTTTAAGTTGGAAAAAACTATACTCTAAAATGTTAATCTTGGAGTACTATGTCTGTTTCCTGTCTATTTCTTAGAAGCAATAAACACACATCCCATTAAGGGCAATAAACATGTACACTTTTTTCGTATCTATGGGTCTTTTCCATTGCAGTGATCCACTACAAATAGGAATGATCAAAGCTAGTGTATTGTGTAGCACTCCAAGATGTATTGTATGTGAGAGATCCTTCATATATAGTGCTAAAAAACCAGTTATGAGTTTGATTTGCATCCTTACCATTTCAAGACAAAATTCATAGTTAACTTGAACAAATAGCATGCATATAATTGACATAAAGCAAATCCAGTACTCTTCCATTGCAGAATGAGGAAGAATCCTAATTTCAGACTTTTGTTGCACGAATGAGTTTGATGGTTTTCAGGCCAGTAAAAATCAACGTGCAATTTCCATTGTCCAATTTCAACTCTTGCTCTCCTCTTATTTTGGTTATCAAATCATTTTATGTGCTAAGGCCGACTTTCTAGCAATTGATAATAACAAAAACAGAAATACAGATTCAACTGCTTCCAAGACTGGCAATGCTCTGCATTTCACTACTAATGGAGAATCAAGGCAAAATTTTAAAGAACCCTTCTTCAGAAAGTATCAGGAACCTATAGACAAAATAGGAAAATCAAATTTTGATCCTGTCGTCTTGAGAGCTGTGAATAATTTAGTCCAGGCTTCACAATTGACTCCATTCTCCTTCAATACCATACATCCCTTTGATCTACCTCATACTTGAAGTTGGATCACAAACAGACACATTCTCTTAGAACCCCTATGAGACAACAAAACATGACCACCTTCAATATGATGTCTCTTCAAAATTCAAATGTCTCAGTTGCCAAATCAAATGCAAGTATATACATATACTGGGATCATCAATCTCAAAAGGATGCTAATATCCCCAAGGATTAATCCAGAAAGTAAAATCATGGCATCGAGACAGAAAATGGACTACTATTTTCAAAACAGCAGAAACATCTCACTATTTAAATCTACAATTTATACTGCGTATTATGCATATGAAATTACTACAATATTACAAATATTTTACAGCTAGGGAAGTTGGTTCTTAGAAGAATCTTTCAAAATCCTTTGAAAGCTTAGCACACTGCTGTAGTTTCCTTCTGCAAGTTTGGCAACCCAAAGACAACCATCCTTCGGTTAACACCAAGCTTTAATTACTAAGAAACCAGCAAAAACTCCTTCCCCTCTGCTGTAGTCTCCAAAATTTTATATGCTCGAAACTTAAGGGGAATAAATTCACACAATCCAGATTTCAAAGGAAAGAAAAACCAAAACTAGAAAGTGTGGAAAAATAGAAATTTAAACATCGTCATCCATACAAGAACAAGCATAGAAGCTGTTATCAAATGTCTGATAGCACACAGGCAAGGTACTTCTAAGTTAACGACACTTGCGTGGTTACAGCTCCAAGTAATCATAAGAAGATATCCAAACTTCAAAACTAAGATTGATACTGCCCACCATCTCTAGCACCAACGCATGATGGACTCTCAGATGTTCTGACACTCTTTAAGACTGGATGGTAATAATTCTTTTAATGTGAATATCAAATTTACTTTCTCAGTGAAAAAACAAATTTTTTGGAGTAAAAAAAAAATTCATTCTCAGAGCCAATAATTTAAGATTTAAGAAAAGTCACGTTTATTTTCCAAAATTAAAAAAGGAATGTCATTAATAACAGTAACAAGAGTATACATCCACACTACAAACTCCACATTTAAAATACATGCTTCATTGCGAGTACAGACAAAAGATATCCCCGCCTTGGCCAAAGGTCTAGCAATATTGTTAAGTTTCCCCCTGCATAGTATTTGCTTCTGAAGTAGGATAATTTCCATCATTTTTTGGCAGTCCAGCACAAGTGCTCCCATCAGGCCTTCCATCTCCACAGTTCCTGGTAGAAGCTGGTTCAATCTGTGAGCCTTAGAGTAAGATAATACAAGTACTTTTGGAATTTGATTTGCAATTACCATTTGAAGGCCTATTCATACTGCACAAATATCTGCTATTTCATGAGGATTTCAACCAATATTCATCTCAAAGGCAGCTACAAAATTTCCATTCAAACTTCATAGAATTCCGCTCACACATGCTTCCTATTTATGTCAGAAACCAGCTACCTCTAAAAGAGCCCAACCAGAAAAATTGGAAGGAAGCAAGTGATAGATGTTGTCAGATGAAGAGTTTGTCACTTATCTCGTCTTGGGCAAGATAAGGTAATGCAACTTTCATGACATCAATAATTAACTAAAATTAACTCATGAAAAAACTAACTGGAAGTTTGATTTTTGCCAGCAAGAATCAAGAATGTCAAACTAAAAATCTTAACATCAAAGAAAATCACGTAGTCAGTTCCACTTGAGTAGAAATACCGATTGAACAGAAAAGATTTTTTCATATGATATCTACCAAAGCTTACCACTATACAAAACAACAATCTAAAGCAAATATGGCACAGAGAGAATCAGCAAATCTTCATCCATGAAGAACAGCAGTCGCCAACAGGACAATGAAGGAGCAGAAAACATGCAAGCTTCTGTATATGAATTGAGCAACAGTACAAAGCAAAAACTTTTCAAAAGGCCAATCTCTTTTGACCACATTTAACGATTTTTTTCATCAAAGTCTTCCTCCTGCTGCAAGACCATTTTATCTCTTTCAACTGAGCTAGTTTTGATTCTAAATATTTTCAACTTCTTCATGACTGTCGCATATGGTGCACTCTAAGAAAGATGACTCAAATTATAGCTTTTGGAGAAAGACCAACAAATATTAAGCATCATTCTCTCAACTGGATCAGTAATCTCAAACCTACAAAATGGGCAAACTTGTAAACAAGTAAGATGTTAATTACATGAAATCCTGGTCATCATCAAAGCTCAAGTATCATCTAATAAACTGTGGTGAAAACTCGCAACTAAGAGAATTTGGTCAGTGGGTGTACTTGAAGCTTGAGTCTTAGTTCATAATCTGAAGTGACAAAACACAATTAAGCCAATTCCATTACCTAGTGTCCTAAGTATACACCAGCAACAAGAATCATCAAAGTTTCTGGACTGTACTAATGAAGTTTCAGAAACGAGGTGCCAGGGTGGTGAAAGCAGCATATTTGAGGTACATAAATAGATGAAGACATCTTATGACCATTTCTCAGACAGTTCCAGCAGTACTTTATAGATCTACAAAATTAACAAACCAAGATGGATCCCACATAATGTCACAAAGGAGCAACTTTTTCCCAGCTACTTTTTCTATTTGTGTAAGAAATTTCAATAATACATGTGATATTAAACAAACTGAAATCGAAGTAAGTTCATATTGTTTAGAATTCGTTAAGATTGTGAATGTCAAACCAAAAAAAATTAAACGGCATTTCCATGGACTAAAGCAATGGCCAGAAGGAAGCGTATATGCATTTAGATTCTGGAGACACAATGAAAACAATGAGTTCAAGTTCGCTTTGAAGAAAAAGGGCTCAAAGGAAAAGAAATAAACCACGCATAATGGCAAAAGTGGCAGTACAAGTAACCCTGAGGCCATTAATTAGTTATTTAAAACCCAAGCATTTCTGGAAGCCATGGGAGAGTAGGGGAACTGGCATACAAGAAAAGGGACAGCAACAGGGAGGGTTCTTGCTGGCTCTGCCAGCTCTTTGTGTTGAGGCTCAGCTGTTCTGAAGAGTGAAGGTTTCAGAAGTGATATCTGGCTACTGGCTTGAGGAGGGAGGAAGTTGGATATTGGAGGAGGGTGGGGGAAGGCTGCAGCAGGCAGTATGGGTTGGCAGGAAGGATTGAAGAGAAAATTAGCTATTGAAAGGTAGTTGGCTATTTTTCAAATGGAATTATCTGAAAAATGAAATAAGCAGCAGGACGGTTCAATCATACGTTACTAGGAGGGATATTTCAAGAACTAGAGATGATGTTTTAAAGTAGAGAGATTAAATGCCAGAGATACTGACCATGATTAATACCCACAACTTGGAATATACAAGTATCCTGTAAATCATTCTATTGAATCCCCAAGAAAATCATCTCTTAGATTATTTATAATGTTGAAACAGATCCCTGTGAATTTCCATCCTAAAAAATTCAAAAGAGGTTATTTATAGCATGGCAAAAAAAAAATTGAAATTAATCCTCTATACTTTGTTTCCTCATTCATTAATGTTCAGGGCACAATAAACTATCTCTATTCTACACAAGAGCCATGAAAAGCAGAATAAGCAACAAATAGCTTGCATAATGCACAGGAAAAGAAAACATGTTACAACCTATAATTACTCTTACAATGATTACATAGGTCGTTCTTACCATACTCATCTTTGCTTGTCATGTACCTTTCTTCATCAGCAAAAGGTGAAACCAGACTTTCAACATAGATATGTCCCTCAAGATAGACATCGTCCACATCTTCAATTCTGGGATATCTCATTGACTCATCTCCCAAATTGTACAATCCAAAGTCAGATGAAGATGTCAGCAAAATCTCACCTTTGGCACTGATACACAATGGTGCATGATATGGCCGCACGCTCGCTACCTTAATCCAAGACTCTACCACTCCATACTCCATCATCACCCATAAACCCACATTCTTCTTCCATATCGAGTACACATTCGGCTGGTCGCAATACAAAATGCTTACACATAAGCACTTCCCTAAAACACCGAGTGTCAAAACGGAAGCATCCTCCACACATCCAGGAAGCTGTACTTCTCCATATTCAAGTCGCACAAGATCAAGAGATACAACTCTCGCATCACAATCGCACACACAACTAGATACAGCCCAATGGAGTTTCCCACTCACAAATGCCCCAGTTTCCAACCAAGGAAGACAAGTGGGAAAATTATCAATCATCCTCCAAGAATCAGTCTTCAGACTATAAATCACAACCTCAATCTTCCTTTCAACACTGCTAATCGAACCTAGAACTACATTATAATCATTATTGGGCTCATTATACCAAAACCATAAAAATTAAACGAACGGGAATTCCCAGTAAAGCCTGGATCAGACAGTTTTCTGGATTGTCTAGTACATGGGTTCCACAGGTACAAATCTTGTTCATCTAACAAAATGCAAATCAACCATTACAAGAACCCACAACCGAAGTGGAATGTGGGGGATTTTCCCCAGGATAATCAATTCTAGCTGCAGGAGTTGCGGGATTTCTCAGTAAAGAGTAAACTGAGCATTGCTTCACATGCAAATGTGGGTTGATATACTTTGCAATGATGCTATGGTGGGTGAATTCATCATCATTATCCATTTTTTGAAATGGGATTTTACGAATTCTTGGCTAGAGATTATAGAAAGCCATGATTTCGAAACACACCTGATTTTGGAGAGAGTTTTGGCGGAGAGTCTTGTGAAAATCTCGCAAAGGAGTTCATCCGGAAGAAGTGAAGGCCCAGTGGGTGGACGACCCCTTTGCCCGCCGTCCATTCGCCGGAGCTGGTTCCCGGAAACTGCTCAGGAGGGTTCGCCGGTGATGGGAGGTTTTGGTTTTGCGATTTGGGGTTTTTGGCGCTGGAAATGTTCCCGAATAAGTTGAGTAGTGAAAAACTTGTTTGATTATTTATTTTTCTTGTTTTTTAGTTTTAATTTGTTAGAAGACTATTGAGAAATTTTTTGGAATAATTATTGTAGTATATTTTCAGCGAATTTATGGGACAAAAAGATAATAGAAAAATATATTTTATACTATTAATAAGTAAATTTTTTAAAAATAATATTCAATTCAAAACACCCTTACTGTAAAATTAATAAAATATAAACGGATAACAGTGGAAATAAAAAATATAGAGACAAGAAGATCATAAGAGAATAATTCTTTCTTGCAACTATGTCACCGAAATTATGACTAGCAATATACACCAAAATTAATACAAATACATGAATTTAATAGTTTAAGTATATGAATTGAAAAGTTTTTAAAATAAACTAACAAACTACAAGAATTATATAAATGTACATATTTCAATTTATCTCCTTTGGAGGATGAATAGATATTCACATTTATTATTTCATTAGCTTTCATGGCAACTCTTTGCTCTTACTTACCATGTTTTATACCTATATTACGTTGTTATTTGGGGAGGGTAAAAAAAAAAAGGATACTGCAAAGTCATTTACTCCTCTACATGGAGTTTTCTCAAATTTCTTTGAGCTTTTTAGCTTTTGAAATTGTAAATGCATTCTTTGATATTAGTAGATTTTATTATTGTACTATTTTGTTATTGAGTTTATTTGATATTGGGACATAAAGATTCACGATATTGGGACATAAAACCTTATCACAATTAGGAAACATAAAATCTTATCCGATAATTCTAATTTTAAAGGAATGCAAATTTGGCATATTTTAATTTTTATTTTCTTTAATTAATCTTATCTTTCTAAAAATCTAACACATGAAGTATATTTTAACGAGTATCAAATGAACACTCCTTAAATGGACATGAATGATAAGATGTGGCAATATTTGACTTCTACTTTTCAACGGAAGAACACAACTCACACACACAACACCTAAAGTAACTCCACAGCAATAGTCAAAAGGTACCAACTTTTAACTACCACTGAGGACCCTAAATACTGAAGATGCAAACCACATCCTACCGATGTGGGAACTAGAGGGGTGGGAAAGGGAACACACAGACGACTCTCCTGAATCTATCCTTACCAGTTTTTTTACCTCTCCTGAATCTCTGTTTCTTTTCAACGGAAGAACACAACTCACACACACAACACCTAAAGTAACTCCACAGCAATAGTCAAAAGGTACCAACTTTTAACTACCACTGAGGACCCTAAATACTGAAGATGCAAACCACATCCTACCGATGTGGGAACTAGAGGGGTGGGGAAAGGGAACACACAGACGACTCTCCTGAATCTAAGTGCACCAGAGTGCTGGCAATCTCAATTATTGCTGTGCTGGGCAAGTTCAATTATTGCTAAAATATCTCTCTTATAATTGGCAATAACTAATTTTAGAAGTACATATAATTCTTGCAAATGTTAACAAATTAAGTATTGGTTGTGAAAATATTTCAATTTGGAATCTTTTGAAAAAATTTGCTGTAGCGAAGTTTTTAGATTATATTTTGGGATATTTTTAGAAAATATTTTGGGATATTTAAGAGTAGAAGAGTTTCTAGAATATATTTTGATATATTTTTTAAATTTTAAAAAAAATTAAACTAATTTTTAGATTACCTTTTAAAATATTTTTTAAAAATTTTTATTATATTTGAAAAACGAAAAACTAGTTTTTGAAAAACTCTAGATCCAAAGAGTAACTTGCGTAGAGAGTACTTCTAACTCTCTGTGTCATTGTTTAATAACACACACACAGTTATTCAATGACCTATTGGCTTTGAGGTAAACAACTCATCAGAAGCCAAAAATTTGTTGGGTATAATGACACATCAGTATAAATTTTTACCAACTACTACGAACAGTAAATTTTGCCTAGAATTTCTAATGAGACTTCAATATTAACTTTTACTGCTCTCTCGGTAGCACTTTGATAGTATTGGTTTTTTTTTTCACACAATTTCAGAACAATTAGTTAGCTTTATTGAAGAGTAAATCTAACTTTTTATTTTTCTAAAATTCCCTTACATTAATATTAGTAGTATAACTAATCATTATACCTTTACATTAATTGCAATAACAATATTGATGAAAAGTTGCATCATTCAATGCATGAATCAAAGTAATTAATGAATAAGGTAAATTATATTCAGTAATAACAAAGTATATTAAATAAAGGCATTTTAAAGAAGCTAAAAATTAATTATATTTTTTAATTAGAAAGTGAACTATAATTTGAGATAGATAAAAAAGGAAAACAAGACTATCAAAGTGAGATAAAGGAAATAACTAACTATTATGAACAGCAATTGTGAAGCTAAATATTACAATGTACGTGTTATTTAATTCGTACTTATAATACATGCACATGAAAGTATAGCACTATTGTAATGGAGGCAAGCCAAAATTTTATTTTAGTCCAACCTTAAATATTTGTGTTTGGACAAAACAAATTTTGAAATTTTTATAAAATTTCAAAAAATAATTGAAAACAATAAAAGATACTTTTTAATTTTTAGAATAGTTTTTGTGATTTGATTTTAAAATATAAAAAGTAATTGAAAACAAATAAAAGATATTTTTGAGATACGTGTTTCCGAGGTTCCCAATCAACATTGTGAAGACTCGATGGAGGTTTTTTTTTAAAAAAAAATTCTATTCTATTACAAGGAGCGGTCTTGGGAAGGGGATGGTGATAGAAGGGGAAACGCCTTCTACTGTTGTTCCCCTGTGGTGTGCTTACTGCTCCTTGATGGAAATGATATTGATGGGGTTCGAACTCTAACTGATATCCCAATAAGAAACTTACAACTTGTTTGGAATGATGTTTTTCGTCGAAAAATTACGTCATTTTCTGTAATCACATTTCTCTATTACCTTTTTTCTTCACATACATCAAATCGCTACAGTAATTTTTCATGAAAAATCATGAAAAATGCAATCCAAACACAATCTTAAATTTTCTTGATAGCCGCTAGACCAAGGCCCAGTAACATAATAATAAAGTGGGCTCAAGGCTCAAGAATGGTAAAGGAGTAACTTTTCTTTATCCTTTATTTACCCTTTATCAAACGTTGAAGTCAATTGATATAACCTCTTTGCCTGGTCTACTACTTACTGATCCAATTCCCTTGCGTGATACTGATACTACTTCATTGATACAACACAAAAAAGCTACTCCTGTTGTCTACTATTCTATTAAGTCTTATCCATCAGCATAATTTTCAGGATTTCGACCATTCTCGGGCTTTTTTCTTGTCATCGGCATAAGTACTTCCTTTTTTCAAGAAAATCTCTTTCCCTAGGAATCCAAGTTATGACATGATAAAAAATATTATAGTATAAATAATAGGTATTCGTATCCGTTTTACAATCTGCAACTAATCCTACTCAAATCGAGTCGGGACCCTTGCAGATGGAAACTGTGACTATTCTATTCGAACCGAATCAGGCCACTTGTAGATGGTGTAGACACCAAATTTTTGGTGTAATTTCATTTTTAGTTTTTATTTGTGATGTTCGTTTTTTAGTTTTAGTTTCTAGTTTTATTTTTATTTTTAAGTTTTTATCATAGAATTTCTTGGGAAAAAAAGGAAAAAGAAAAGCATTCAAAAAAATATGTTTAGTTATTTTTGATCTAAAGAAGGAAAAAAAGAAAAAGAAAGAAAAATGATGAAAAACGAAAAATGAAGAAAAGAAAAATTGATTAGCATTTCATTTTTTTTATCTCTTATTCCTAGTTTTTTATATGGTTGTCGTTACTTAATATTAATTTTGTTATTTTATTTTATTATTGTATTACTCTTCAAAAAAAAAAAAAAAAAAAAAAGGAAAAATTTCATGCAAGCTGCGTTCGTCCGCAGCTTGCAAGTAAGGGCTCAGGAGCCCTTTGGCTGCAATTATAGAAGAGTGTGCTGGGGGGTTCTAGGGTTGAATGCCCCATATAAATAGAATGGAAAACTACAGCCGCAAAAGGGGAGGATACGGGGATAGAGCATGACGGCTGGAAGTATAGAAAGAAAACGGCCAACAGAGAAGAGAGGGTGGCGGCTGGGTCTTTCGGATAGGGAAAGGGCAGCTTTGAGGGAGTGGCTAGAAAAGAGGGAGGCGGTGAGGAGAACCAAAACCGAGGGAAATCTGTGAGAGAAATCTGGAGAGGGCTAGAAAACAGAAAGGCCGAAAGAGAGTGACGGAAAGAGAAAGGAAAACCAGGAGCGCCGAGAAGGGTTTTAGAGAAAAGGGAGCTTTGTGAGGCAGGGGAAAAGAAAGCCGAACAATCGCTACTCATAACCACCTCCCGCGAACCTCCCACCACCAGTCCGTATTTGTTGCTGCTGCTGTCCGTCGACCACACCAGCACCACCACCACTCCAGATTCAAGATAGCTTCAGAAACCGAGAAGCATTGTAAGTTTTCTCCTTAAAATTCAGTTCCTGTCAAGCTTTTGAAGCATGTCTTCCGTGATTTTGCTTATGGCTACGTTTCTGTTGGGGTACTCATTCTCTTGGGCTGGGTTAAATAGCTTTAAGGGCTAGAGTTGCAGATCTGAAAGTTGGGAATGTTTGCTGTTTTGCTGGAAATTTTAGTCTATGCTGGAGTTTAATGTTCGCTGGAAATTCTTAGTTATGCTTAGCAAAGAACTTGCATACTTGCACCAAATAACCCAGCGCATGAAGAACAGCTGCTGTTTTGCTTTCCTGTTTGCTCACCTTACGTTGTCCATGCTAGTTCCATAAGCCACTAACCAGATGCGTGAACTGTCAAAACATTTCTGGTTTGATGTTTGAGATCGTAACTTTGCTGTTTGGCTGGAATTTGGCCATGTTTTACATCTGATGATGAACATCATAAGCATAGCTAATCATAGCTGGGAAATTGCAGCAGGCTTCCTCTAGTTTGCTGCATTGGTGTGGAAAAGAAAGTTCTTTAAGAATTTGTTTATTTC